AAATCCGGATCATGACTTTGGCAAGCAGGGCATGGGAAATTTTTCGCCGTGTAGCGCATTCGTCGGTGGCCGAGAAATTCCATGGGCAATAATAAGTCCGTTATATGTGGTGTCGGGGTTGCTTGGTATCCACATGATGTCCCACGCTCCAACTACACAATCCTGGGAATACCGGTAGAAGAACCACACGTATAGTCAACAACCTTGCGGATAGGAAGTGGCACCTCGGATGCTCCCAGTGCCGATGCTTATTCCAGGAGAATTCTCATCTTGAAAATCTTGCTCGAATGGAGGGTGCGGTGTGAGTTGTGATGCCGGGCCTTCTTCTTGTTCGAGAGGCAAAGCGTTCATCTTCATCTCAATGACTCGGTTCTTGGGTGAGGTCATGACGGCTGCACCTCGGTGCCAAAACCTAGAACGGCGTAGGGTATGCGCCGTCGCTTTCCCGCAAAATTCAGGAGCTCATGATGCTGGTGTTGAAGTTGCGGCTGAGCTTAGCTGAGGGCATGCCGCATCTGAGCCCTCATTGGTGGCAGCAGGAGATGTTCGATGCGAGCTGCGGTCTTGACACCTTCTACTTTGGTCGCACCAATGACAACAAGACAGCCACAAGCATCTCTCTCCACAATCTAGTAGATCAGGAGATATCAGAAAAAGGAATTCAATACCTGCGACGCACTACGCATCACACACGCCGATGCAGCCATCGTGGGTATCTCCATAACTCTTGCCGTATTCCTCGCACTGGCTGCCGACGAGAGTTGCCGCCGCTATGTGCGCTTGATCTAGGGCACTACCACTATCAGTTCGTGGCTTGGGCGTCTCACGCTTGGTCGACGATGATAGTCCACGTGCAAGTTGCGCAGTTTAGCCGGTAGAACGAAGTCGCCCTGGCGCTATGTTCCAGCTACAGCTACCAGCCGTCTTGCTCGGCCTGACGGCAAAGGCGCGTTCAGAGTCGGATCTCTACTAGGTATCCTTGACCCAAGGAATGCTGCACGAAGAGGTCTAGACACCCAGCCTTGCTGACATTCTTGTCGCAGCCTTTAACAGAGCAGGGCGTTCCCTTGATCTCGGGTATAACGATAATAGCGATACCAGCGACAAAGTGGATGCCGGTTGGGAAGCCTTTCTGGTCTTGGCATAGACTGCAAGTCTCATTTCGGTTGCGAGACGGGCGCGAAGATCATGATGGCCGCGGAATCAGGAGCGGGCCCTCTTTCCAGCGTGGATGCTCCTTGTGAGGGATTGAGTAGGAGAACCTCAGGACATGCTATTTGTGTACTGCATTATTTCAAAGCCATTACCATCATACGTCTGAAGCGTTTCTCGACAGAACGGTACTTCAGCGCTACCCCGTGGCTTCTAACTGGCATTGCGAGCATCGGCGACGGTAGAAGCTCCTGCGAAACGTAAAATATGCTTCGGAGAGTTTTCGACCTATGCCGCTAGCTGCCTAGACACGTCGCTTTGGTGGCCGTGATGAGTCCGGATGATGCATTACCAGTACACTATGATTAGTCGCATGGAGGTAGCGTAGCAAATTGCGAGGCCCCAGTCTACGGCTCTCATGTCACTGTAGCGAATGTGCATGGAGGCGTTGGACTCATTGCTCAACCATACTCGACCAGATTTGCTGTGTTTCAAGAAGGTCCGGTGAAGGCTCTCAAGCGCTATTGGCGGTCGACAAAATGGCCCCGCGATGAAGCATCGGAGATTATCAGCAATGAATGACCTGGCACGCTGGCGACCAAGCAACCGTTCGTGCAGGGAACACTGTCGGCGCAGTTTGCGCTATGTGGCCCGGTTTGCTGCATGGCAGGCCCTCGGTGCCAGGTAATGCGATAGTCAGGAACGCTCGGCTTCTAGCCTATAACCCATTCGTTATGTCGACCAGTAATTGTCTGTATCGCTCACGCTCCAGATCTCAGCACCGTGACTTGGAAACTTGATTTCGGCAGAAGCGAGTCGAGGCTGGTGACAAGCTCCCAGCTGCAATGGGCTTGGGAACGCACACCAGCAGGATCTGGATGCGCTCCGTCAAGGGCTAAGATAAAGAACCTTGAGGGGAAGCTATCGCGGGACGCACCTAAAGCCCGACACGGGATTGGCCAGTGCCTGGAATGGGAGCGATACCCAAGGCGGTTGGTGTGGTTTGATAGATCGACGTCGTGTCAGCGCCCTGCTCAAGCGAAGTTTCCGACCGACACACGCCCCTTCAGGCGTACTGAGCGTTTGCTTGTCTCATTCGTAGTCCGCCCTCTAGCGATGCAAGGAGAATCAAGAAGGAAAAAAAAGTTTTTTCCGGGGTAGAGCTGCACGGCAACGACGAACAGGTGTGCTGTCGCATCTGCTATCAAGCCCTCGGTGTCAGGTTGCTGAGGCTGATGCGACTTCTGCCCCTGGATTCGTTCTGAGGTCATGATGTGCTGTCAAAGACCAACATCGTGCTGACCTCGACGACGCCACGTTGCCCGCTTCACGGCTTTGGGATGGCATATACTGGACGGGAGTGTCATGCCCCTGCAGCAGGTACGGTGGAATTGCCTATCCTGGTACTTGCGCCATCTTCAACGGCGGGGTGTCGTTCCAAGGTTGTCGAAATTAGCCCATCATGGATTGCTCTTAGTGCACTACTCACCGATATTTGCTTGAGTCTGCCGTACTAACAAACTTCGCAACCCACCATCAGGTACGTTTTTGTACCTGCATCTCGCCCCAAGCCAAGCTAGTCCGGTGTCTATAACCCGCAACGCTCCTCTCTCTCGGTGCGCCGTCGTTGGCTTTTACCGAAGGACCGTTCTTTGTGCTGCCTCGTTTCGTGGCGCTAATAGCATACCGTCATTACCTACTGCGGTTGTGGAGCGAGGGTACACGCATGACCCAGGTCTCCGCTCTCGAGCCCCTCCGCCTTCCCGCACTACTTTATCCGCATCGCCCTCCAAGGTTCATATCAGACAGAAGTGGGCTCAAGGTACCTACCATCGTTTCGTCGACCGCCACCTCTCAGGTGTAGCCGCATCAACCGCAGCCACAGCCAGCATGGTCGTGATCTGATCGACATCACTCCTTCATATCTTCTTTTTGGATCTTCCTTCCAATACACCATCACGCCTTCAACAAAGACGATCGCGACAAAGCTTTACCATTAAACGAAAGCAGTCCCATTCAACTCTCACACTCACATACACACCATCGTTACAACCATGGAGCAAGAAACGAAAGTCTGGATCATCCTTGGTGCCGTCGTAGGCACTCTCGTTCTGACGGCGGTTGCCGTCGCCCTTCTCTTCTGCTGGAAACGATCTCAAAGAAGAATGCGAGGCTTCTCTCTGCGAGCAGTCACACCACTCGACGATGCCGAATTTGAATCGTGGAGACGGCCCAGCCAATACACTCAACGACCGGAGAAGTATGGCATCCGACCAGCTGTCTTACGGGAACATGTATCACCCAGAGCCACTTCCATGTTCGAGAAAGAGCTTAGCACATACGAGTTTCCTCCAAGAACACCATCATTAACCGACATGGCTTCACTAAAGTCACCCACCAGCTCGATACGAAAGCCCGAGCGTGTACGGAGGAAGTCCAGTGTTGCTTCGTCTATTGCCGACCGACCCCCAACACCCTATTCTCCGAATTCTCCAAGCGGTGAATTCAACCGGGGTTCCACATCTTCACATCGATCCCAGCCTCTAATACATTATCCATCACCATCAGAAACCTCTGCTTTTCGCTTCAACTTCGAATCAGAGTACGGCACTCAACAAAAGGGCGCTGGACGCTGGATATGAATGCCAGTGTCACTTCGAGTCTCCAAGCCACCTTCGCACTTCGAACATCACGACTGGCAGTGTTCATCTGTAAAACCTGCAGCCTGCCGAATGCACTCGAAGCGACTGAAACACATCTGACAGCTTCTTGCGTCACAGCGCACCACATTCTGCTGTACAAGCATCGGGGCCGCCATGATACCCAGTCAGCACTTTATCTTTACGACCTTCGCTTCGCATACATACTTTACGATTGGACATGATTTTGTCATTTGGAGTTCGGCGGCGCTTTGCATCTATGATACCAGACCTTTGAGTCAACTACACAGGCCTCGAGCCTCTTTGTTTCTTTTTGTTGGAGGATGAGCCACTCAGTGCCGAAGATCGCACGAGAATGCAATTCAGTAGTATAGCCAACCACATAGTCGGGTCTGCAGTTGTAGCACTGCGAGAGGCTAGTCCTCTGTACCCATATCAATGAATAAACTCATTAGCACATGATGCTTCGCTTTTGCTGCAGTGATGTCCTTCCCATTGCGCAATACGCCCTGCCCTGCAAGACATTACGCACAAGGCATCACGACATCAGCCCAAGCGGCAACTCGGCCCCGACCGTTCCCACCCACGACTGCCGACACCGACCCCTTGGCCGTGCAAACGCCTCATCTGTGCCTGTACCAAAGAAAAAAACGTGGTCTACACCGCCAGTTCCAAGACCCCAGAATGTTGCAATACGCGATCTGAAACTCTGCTCGGCCGCCATCTCCACTCCACTCCACTTCGACTATCGAAAAGCGAGCGGGACGCGATTCGTGCGCGATCGCGCTTCCCGCGCTCGAGAAGTACACCGCATTATCCGGCTGGGTGAACCCCGCGAGATGTTGATGGTCGTGATACTGGACTCTTGGGGCTGAAATGCAAGACGCAGGGTGGTGGAGTAAGGGATCTTCGGTGTCAGTTGCTTTTGCGCACATCATGGGTGGGTTCTGGTAAGAGTGGTGCACTTCATCTAAGCGACAAGCTAGATGCCTGCACGGGTGCTATGGTAAGAAGCAAGTAACTCGGAAATCTACATTACCCTTGTGTAACTCAAATTTTGTATCGCATACTATGGTGGCCTGGAGACTTTCCTTGCGTCTGTTCCCATCCTTCTCTGCTGCTTACACGAATAGGTGGATGACTAAGCTAAGCGAGCCGAGCGGATGACGTGCAGCCAGGATAAGGTGTGTTGAGCTGCACGGCGTGTGTGAAAGCGTTTTAGTGGGTCAACGACTCAACGTGGACAGCTGTCACCGCAAACCGTGTGGGCAAACAAGCAAATTATCAGCCACACAACAATAACCCCATCGCGTGCTCGTTTCTCAAGCCCATAATTCGCTTCGTCGCCCCATTGCACCCACTTCGGTACTCGCGTGCAGATCAGTCAAGCGCGAATCTCGTTTGTCCGCACCCCACAAACGCGTTCATCGCGTCTGGCACACGACATCTACACGTCCAATCGCGGAACGCCCAATATGGAATTCATACAAGGTACGCTTCGCTGATGCGCCTATCGTTATATCACTGTATCGCGACACGGGTTGCTAATCCCCAATACCAGACTACGCAGCTCTCCTCCCGCGCCTCCTCCCACCCTCCTTCGCAAACCCACTCCTCCACCTCCTCACAACCTTCTTCGGCATCTCGCGCACGCTGTCAACGCACCTCTCACCCCTCCTCAACAAACTCATCACCCAACCCGATGTCGCCTCCATCCTCGCGCTGCTCGCCATATTCTTCATCTCGCTCAAGATACTGGACATGATGTACCGGGCCGTCATCTTCTGGGTGAATCTGGCTTTGCGATTGGTGTTCTGGGGCGGGATACTCGTTGTGGGTTTTTGGGTGTATAATAGAGGGCCTGAGGGCTTTATCGAGGATGTCCAGGGCTTGGGCGAGTACTGGCTGGGTCAGTATGAGATGTATAGCCAGGAGGTTAAGGGGTTTCAGCAGCAGAAAGAGGATCAGATCAGGATGAAGGCTAGTGCGCAGCAGCAGCAGAAGAGGAAGGGGTGGCGGTAAAGACGTTGCGGAAGGATCTGGGAAGGGTGGACGTTGGATATTTGTCAATACAATAGCTGCGGTTCTGGTACGACGGGTGCGAGACTGGACTTCTGCACATATTGTTATGGCGCTTTGGGATCGTGAAAAGCATGGGACTGGCTTTGTATACACTGTCGGAGTATCTGGGACGACTACAACTTGTACATGTTTGAGCTTCACGAATAATGGTATCCATGACAATACTCTAGGCCTTTCGATTCAAGTATCACGGTGCTAACGCCTTTGAATCGATGTCTCAACGTCGACAAGATGACATCCAGCTGTTTGCTCTTGGAGAAGAGTCGCCTCTCATTCCAGAGACCAAGCGCAAGCACTGGATGATTCTGAATCTTTCTCGTAGCGGGAGGATGCAATCCAGACTTTACGAGAAGAAGATGGAAAGTTTGATGGTTGCTGTGTCAAATCTTTAAAAGAGCCTCTGACGTTGTCACTGAAGATCTTGCTAATACCCACCAACCACCTACAATGGCACCCCGGAGAAAGAAGCAGAAGACCAACCACGCGCCCGCTGCGACTGACGCCACGGTACGAAGCACTACGCAACCCGCGATCGACCGTCTACCTACCGAGTTACTGCAGATGAGCTTCGAATATCTCAGCTTCCATGACCTGATACGATGCAGACACGTGTGTGGGAAGTGGTTACTACGCATACCGGGAAACGACACGGATCTGCGCAAGAAACTATTCCTGACAACCAATCTTCCACCATGGACACGTGAGCTACATATTCAAGCCGCTAACTACCTTTGCAAGCCTTTCGGACACACCTTCGCTATGGAACCCAATCGCCCGCGCATTGTCACTGAGGACTATTATCCCGAGAGGCTACAAACCAATCCCATCCTCAAAACTGACAAGTCCGGGATCATGCTTACTTATCCGGGGTCCGTAGATGATGTCCGTAGATGATGTCCGTAGATGATTGTCCAAGTATTCCATACAATAAAAACTATAGCTTTCGCTTCTCATCCGTGGAGCAATTACGCGAGAAAGCGACATCTCTCGAGAGCAAGGTCGACGAAGGCCTGTGGACCGATATGCTGATACGCGTTCCTCCAATGCAAAAGACGGAATTACATTTCGCCATCTTTGCGGGCGGGTTTCGTATCGATTTCACACGCACACTTGCCGACAATCGCGGGATCCGACTCCAGAGCTTGGCTGACTCACTCAGGAGCTTGTTGAAAGAGGTAGCTGACAAGCTTACGATACACAAGGTCACACTGCGGTACAAGAGTATTGTTGAGATTTTCGAAAGATGTTCAAGGATCGGGTGGTGCCGCCTCAAGATGAGGGTGGAAGTGGAGAGAAAGCAAATGACAAAAGCGAGAATATGGGGGACAACAAGGGAGTGGACGATCATGACGACGACAAGCGTCCCGTAAAAGGCGACAGCGACGATCATTTGAGTAATGCTACGGACAATACAAAGAGCAGTGTCCCTGCCGTCACGGTCAATCTACGAGCGGCTGCCGACTTACTCTGCGTTCCCGGCTCTTTCCCACAGGCCGTCATCAAGTTCGAAGTAGAGTTCAACACAGACTTCATTGACGCTCTTCTCCCTGATGATTTTCCTCTCCTATCTAACTTTCCCTCCGGCACAACGTTCCATCCGATTCTTCTAGATCTGGAAGGTCGTCTACCTCTCGTCGATAACTTGTTTCGGACATCCGACGGAGAGCCATATAGACACTTCTCCTTCGGGTCATTTGAAGTCCTGAACGAAGTGTTGGAAAGAAGACAACGGCGGTCGCACAGAAACGATGGCTCATGGAAAGACATGCTGTTGTGTGTGCCAGCTCAGCAGCGCATCGACGTCATCTTCGACTATACGTATTACTCCGGGTCGCATCGTAACTATACGCTTCTTGGAGAGAGCGGATGCGGGGTTACAATGGGTCAGTTTGTGAGGGCTTTCCGTGATCAGTTGAAACATATTGAGGAGGACGTACGCGGATTTCCCCAGGACATGTTAGGTTACTGCAGTGAATGCTGGGAGAAGAATCACGAGCTTTGAGTATTAACAGGATAGCATGATTCGGGAGGTAAGAAGCTAGAACGAGTCTGGGAAATGAAGAGATTTTGGTACCGTTGCTTCACTATCCAAACCGGTCTGTCAAACTGTCTTAATCCATCTGAGTCCGTGACACTGGAACTAGGTAAAACAACGAGGATGTTAGCAATATACCTTGATGGTCTTGTGGACTTGTCTCATACACAAGCCACTCGATGAATGCGACCTCCGGCGCAGTATAAAGTCTAGCACCCCGGTGACGTTATCCCTCCCATTATCAATCTCGATTGATTTTCACAAGTGGCCACACCGCCGGGGACACCACACAACATGCAGGGGACTACAAAAGTCAACGCCGACAAGACCAATTCAGGCATACCGACTGGTAGCGCGGTCCCAGACGCCCCTCCCAAGATACTCCGGAATGAAGCTGATTCAGATGACGACAACAATGACAACGAGAACGAGGAGAATAACGACAACATGGACAATGCGAGCACCGACGGTGATGATAATGACAGCGATATCGCCACGATTACCGTGAATCTGAGAACGAGTATCGAGCTCTAAAGCCTCCCCAACTCTTTCCCGCGGACCGTGATAGTCCTTGAAGTCGACTTCAACGAAATGGAAACAAACCCCGACCACGTCGAGATCCCTCGTGGTACTGAGTTCCATGGGATTATTGGCAACATGGAGTGGTGCATGCACCACGTCGACGAACGCTTATTCGACCCAGTAAGACTACGAAACTCTGGTAAACCACGCCCCTGGTTCCACTTCTAATCTTTCCAACACCTACGAGATCTGTTGGAAGACAGCAAGAACAACTCCGGAACTAATGACGGTAATTGGATGGACCAGCTTTTGTTTGAGCCAGGTCTTGAGCGAATCGATGTTGTGTTCGCATACAGGGCTTACAAGAATACGGCCCGCAAGTACGAGCTCGTCGGAGAGAACGGCAAAGATGTCACTGTGGGTCAGTTCGTAAAGGCCGTCCGCGATCAGCTACAGCATGCGGAGGCAGACATACGCAAGTTTTCTGGAGAGCTTTCCCTCATCTACAACGACTGTTTCGGAGATGCTCTATGAGAAGGATTCGATACCAAAATGCTCGTTCTTGATGAGTTCCTGATCTGATTGTGGCTGGGGTGACTTTCCTAAGCACGATCACCTCTGTAGGTGACATCAAAGTGATCGAGAATAGAACGATATTAGTCAGTAGAATAGAACATGAGTGAATTGGCACAGCGAGTCGAAATAAGCAACGTGATGCACACACGTCTGTGAACTGTGCCCGCTCTCTTTGACAAGACGCGATCGATGTAAGAAGGGATCGAAGGGCCAAGTCGCTAGATATCGACCTATCCACCAATCATAGTGAATTGTCAGAATGAGTATTGAATGCTCGAAAGATAAGTTAAAAGCAGCCGTGCATTGGGTTCTGCCGTGTGTAGTTGTGCCTATCATGCGGATGAAAGGTGCCCAAGCCAAGCAACCAATGACGTCGCAAAGTCCCCGCAGACCTCCAGCGACGCGCGCACCCAACGATCAACCCTCTACACGCGCAACCGTTACATAGGCTCACTCCTGCCACATCTTCCTTCCATTCTCTACCAAAACCGCATAAACGATGGCAGCAATATCCCCCGCCCCCGCCTCAACACCCACGCCCACACCCTCTACAGCAACAACGCTCACAAACCCCAACTTCGTCTTCCCACCGCACTACTCCTTCCCCCCCTTCTTCACCCTCCAACCCGTCGCCAGCACGCGCTCCTCACAACTCGCCTCGTGGTCCACGCTCATCCAATCCTACTGCCGCCACAACCGCATCTTCACCCTCTCGCTCATCGACGCGCTCCCCACCCCGCTCTTCACAAACGCCTCCCTGCGACGCAGCCTCTCCCTCCGCGACGCAAAAGCCATCTTGACCTACATGGCGTCCCCCGAAGGCGGCAACCGCGCCGAATTCATAAACACGAGTTCCTCCAAGAAGGCGAAGGCGGGAGAAGAGAGCGAGGGCGGCAAGGCGTGGATATATTGGCGGAGGCCGGAGGAGTGGGCTGCGGCGTTGGAGGAGTGGGTTGAGCGGACGGGGCAGAAGGGCACGGTGCTAACGTTGTATGAGATTGTGGAGGGGGATGCGAGTCGGCGGGAGGAGTTTTTTGGCATGGATTTGGAGTTGTTGCAGAGGAGTTTGGGGGTTTGTGTTAAGAGGGGGAGGGCACAGGTTTTTGGATCGGGGGGTGAGGGCGAGGGTGTGAAGTTCTTTTAAGAGAGTATCTTGTGTGGGATTCGGGTTGATGAACCGTGGTGGATATACTTGGACAAGGAGAATATGCGTAGAGACGAGGTGGATGAGCGCGTTGAATGATACCCACTCATGTTTTACACATGAATATTTAGAGCTTACAAGATCATAGATACGAAAGACACTATACACCTGCGAAGAAGGCTTCGGCAGCACCTAAAGTACTCATGCCGCCTACATGCTAATATCTCCTCAACATGACAGTTTCTGACTTTGCACCTGGAGACATAGAACCACCCAGCTCCAACACTCCAACACCACATCCAACCACCCATTGATCAACGTCCACCGATTGTCATTCCCACACTCTTCAATCGCAATCAACACATCCCTCTTCTTTGCCCCATCTTCCCACTGTACCAACCACTCCGGACACTGTCTGCGCATCTCTTCAACGAAGAAGGTGCGAAGACAGGTGAGCTCGTAGTCTTGTAGCTGCTATTTGTGGAATTGTACGGCGTCTTTGTTGGCGAGCGCTTCGGCGGTGAGGGGTGGAGGTGGTTGGGGTTGTAAAGTTGTGCATGTGGATATGAGACCGTTGAGAAATTGGGGGATCTGACATGCGTGCCAGGGTGGCACTGTGGTTGTGCATTCCCAGTCTACGACGCCGACTAGATTGCTGGAAGGGGACACGATGATATTGTTGAGGGAGATGTCGCTATTAAATGGTATCGTTTCTTCATGTTCGTGCTCCTCCGCTGGTTTTGTGAAGATCTTTGGAATCACCTTTTGGAGTTTGGTGTAGATCTCTGACATCCCTTCTGCTTGCTCTTCGTCGTCCGAGTCGTAGCTATCTGAGTGTTCTGTGTGCTGACGCTTGGTGATTTCGTGCTGTAGGAAGGCCATGTGACTGTTTACGAAGCTTTGGCTGCTTGCGAACGGACCGCGGTAGATGGGCTGCTGGATGTGGTCGTCTTTGAATAAAGCTTGTATGACTGCCTCTCCGACTATTTAGTCTGTGTTGCGATCGCCGTTGGATGGTGACTCGTCGGGATAAAGACTGCCTATACCGGAGAGCTCCAAATGATATAGCTGGACCATGAAGTCTACTATTTGGTGGACCAGAAGCTCTTTGTGAAGCCAGGACATGTCAGACCCTACCTTTCGCAGCGGACGGCCAGGTATGCGCTCCATTAGTATCCACTCAAATTCTAGGTCATCTTCAAAATCTTGGTTGTGTGCAATCATCTTGGGAGCTGGAATGTTGGTCTTCTCGCGGAGAAAGCTCAATGTAGCGACCTCGCTACTGGTCTTGACTTCTGATGCTACAGGTAGCGTGACGCGGAAGATGAAATGACCTTTAGAGCAGAGACACCTTATCGGACAAACTCTCCACCGTAAACTCAAGATAGTACAACCATAGACCCATAGAGTCCATCATATAAGTAAGCATCATTATGGGTAAGAAGTTCCGCAAGGCTCTTTCTCGCCTTCACCGACGCCATCCCGGACCATAAGCTCGAAGGCGGTTTACCATCTATCCAGAAGACCATCTACGAGGACGACACCTACAGACTGAACATGCAAAACGTAAGTAAAGTAACTAAACTATCATCTTCGTCTAGCCATACTGATCATAAAATATAGTTAACCACCGGTCCGTACAAAAGTTACGACATCCAAGTTCAGGTAAACAAGCACGCTCTGTTCACCTCAGCACATAAAGCAGACCAGAAGGTAGCCACCGTAGGTAAAGTGCTAGTGCCCGTTGAAGAGCCGTGGACAGCGTGGATGATCAAAGAGACGCTCAAGCAGAGCTACATTGAGTTTGGTGATCAATCGAACCAGTTCTAGGCGGCTTGGGTGCTTGGGTAAGTTGGTATATCTTGGCGGATGTTCACGGCGATACTCTTTTCCGACATGGATAGGCGTTCTTTACCCAAGAAGGTGTTGATGTTGCACGAGACTAAAACCGATCAGCGACGTCTTGAGCAACGAGTATAGTAGTCCAAGATAGACTTAGATCCGGAAGTCAGGTTTGCCTGAGTCGCATTGACCACATCCCCGCAAGACGCAAAGTTAAAACAAGCAGCGTCAGATGCTCCGTGCCTGAGAACTGTGGACGTGATGACGCCGTAAAAGCTCGCATAGCGACTGAGGGCAAGGAATCCATGGTAACGAATCCTCTGAAAGCTGGGGGAAAGTCTTGGGACGTGACTGATTGATGATGGAGAGGATGCCTGGAGGCTTGGATCTTCATAGCGTAGAGCACTGAGAGTTTTGAGAGATGATCGCAATAACGAAACAGATTGACCGAAGTCAAAGAAGGCTGGGGAGCAGAGTTGAACAGGCCATGGACGTGGTAGTGCATGTAATGGTGATGCGGCGTGAGTGCATCGTGACACAGACGTCAGTCATCGCGAGTGGTCCTTTGCGGCGTACTGGGTGTGATAGTGACGCAACACATGCTAGGGAACTCGAATCCACAGTAGATGTGGTGGATATGGCTGGTGATGCAGATCAGGGCAGATCATCGCAGGCTCAGAGTAAACAATGGTTCTGGTCCAGGGAGCGGGCCGTTAGCTAGTCTGCAGTAGGAAAGGGCCGAGGGTCAACGGGCGCTGCAGACAGCTACGCAGCACGCACAGTAAACAGAACGATGGACGACGCTAAGGACGAGGCTGGAGGCTCCGCAAGCCCCATGCGCCGTTCGAACAGCGCATGGCCACGTCGCATAGGCGTCCACAATTGCGGGGAGTGTGATGAGACAAAGCGACGTGGTGGTGCTGAGGTCGGACAGTCTCAGGCACAGGCTCGACATTATGCGCTGCAACGCAACAATGCCATCCGCAGCGGACCGGTTGCGCGGTGGACAGTAGTATTTGTGTATTGAAACAGCGGACTAATCCAGCAGGTCGGTTCAACTGTTAGTGTGTGCGGGCAGGCGCTATGCCGCATGCGTCTTGCTGCATTGCGCTGCAGATGGCTGTGGGTCAGCATGGAGAGCTGCGGGCTGCCGCCGAGAGAGGCTGCACACGGCGGCCATGCGGTGGGTTGCTGAAGAGGTCGTATAAATGGCAGTTTTATATCTAATCACTCGACCAGCTGGAGTCGCAATCCGTCGCCTGGAACCTGAGACGAAAAGCATCGGAGGATAATTTTAGGCCAGGTACATCTCATTTCCCCTCGGCAGGGTCAGCCCAATCACAGCGCACACCAAGAACGACCGGACCCCTGATCCCTGACGCTGAAGCAGGAGCTAGCCGACGCGGTAGCCTCGCTGTTCGTGCGTGTTGACCATCCCCCAAGGCTCAAGCGTGCCTTCCTCTCTCCACTGTAGAGGCCCATCGCAGCTTCCCTACCCAGTACGCTCTTTCTGCCACTGCGAGCCAGGCCCTCTCCTTCCCTTCTTAGACCGGCACCCCACCGATACGGTCTCTATTTTCTAATACTCTTGCATCGACATCTGGACACCTACATAGATATACCCCATCCCCGAGGCCCTATCTACATGTCGCGAATGGACTCGTGAAGCTGCGCGTCTCCTACTGGCCCGCCATCGTCGATTGCCTTATTCCACCACGGCCACTTCCTAGGATTGGATTTATCGACAAGCCATACAGCTTCTACGCGTACAGATATCCTCAGCATGCGCCCGTGCCAGTGCTGCGACCATGTTGGCGCTACGATTCTCTCCGAACCTTATCGTCGCCCAACTACTACCTCCTGTTCCCAAAAGCAATCCCGCTCTGGAATAAAAAGGGCTGCCGTCTTCGCTGTCGTCGCCACATCGATACCCTCCGCAATGGCTCAACGGAGTTGCGTGTCGCTCCAGGGCTCAACGGCCTGCCCGGCCTTTTCCTCCGCCTCTGTCGACACGAACCTGACCGGGAACTTGTACGTCGAATATGTTTTGATAGACAGAGTGTTAGCTAACAGTGAACGCGCATAGTCCATTTCTTCAATACGTGTCAGACACTCGGTCGTTCGACGAGGGCTTGAAGAATTACATCGGTACCGGATATGCACAGCGACAGTCAGTCTAGTTCAAGTCGTACCACGCGACTGTTCATGTGCACCAGAAAAACTAACACGTCCCAGGTACGAGAATATATTGGGATGCTCAAGCGTCAACCTTACCAGCACCACCAATCTCTATGCTCGTTACACAACGACTGTCCTTTGCAACGCCATCATCCAATCCTCCAAGAACAGCTGTGGACTCGGCGACACGGAAGCGACTCCGCTTTGTGCTGGTGCCTGCGTATGTAGACCATCTTTGCGGTCCTGTACCTCGTCGAAATGCTGACCAACCTAGGCCGATTTTGCCATCAGCGAACAGGTCATTGTATCAAGCCCGGACCTCTGCGGCACACCTGGTAACAATGCAGTCCCGGAAATCCGCTCTGACTTCGCCCGCTGCTCCAACCCTGCCAACTCTCTCAGCAGTAGCTGCATCGACGCGACCGCAAACGAGCCCAGCGAATGTGGATACAATGGCAACCTACAAGGACTTTGCCTCTTCTGTTCCACTAGCACCGTCAACTCTACGGATTCTTGCTGCGTCAACGCAAACGTCGAGTCGCGCTGCGTAGGCATTGACCTGCCTACAACCGTCTCGATGCCTCCAGTGTTTCCTTCAAGCACTTCGTCCTCTTCCCCAAGCTCCACAGCCGGCGCCGAATCTGGTGGAGGTGATTCTGGTCTTTCTGGGGGCGCCATCGCTGGTATCGTCATTGGATCACTCGTCGGCGCTGCGGTAATTATCGCAGCCGCCATCTTCTGCTGTATGCGCATGCGGCACAAGAAGAATAGCCAGGCTGGAAGCGTCTTCAACACCCCATCCCCATCGCGACGCCATTCTCCCAAGGGACCCATGCCACCTATGAGCTATGGAGGCGACGGCCAATCGCCCGCTACGATTCTCCCTGGTGCGCGTGTTCAGCGTATGTCCGCTTTGGAAGGATCAGAATCCTCAGGCCAGAACAGCGACCGAGGTGGCCGTATGACCGCATACGGTGGCTCGCAACTCGGTGCCTATGATTCACCCGAGTCGATACGTGGCCATCTCGCCGGTAACCTCCCCAAACGACAAGGTTCTCTATCCAGCCACTCTGCTCTCGGAGCGAGCTCTTCACCACTCTCTGGATCTGACCAGACGCGTAACTTCTCCAGTCCGGATGGCGTCGCTTCCGGCCAGTCCGAGCAGCTACAGTTCTTCAAAGACTACTATTCCCAGGACGATATCCACCCGAACGACACTGTTGCCACTCTCTGGGCCTACCAGCCTCGTGCCGGTGACGAGTTCGAGCTAGAAAGAGGAGATATGCTCAAGGTTGTCGGTATCTGGGATGACGGCTGGGCGACAGGTGTAAGACTTTCCGAATCGGCAGAGCAGTGGGAAGCCCGAAAAGCCGAGCAACGCGACTCGGGCGTAAGCAACGGAGGCCGACGATCACCCGTCGAATCCGACAGCGAGATCAAGGCTTTCCCCTTGGTCTGCGTGTGCTTGCCACAGCACTGGAGGAAGACAATCGAAGGCGACAGCACAGACTCTGGCGGGCATGGGAGCGGAGGTGACCGAATACCTCCAAGCCCTTAAGATATCCTTTTGTGCCTGGGTTGTTAATGCTCCCTAGTTGCTCCCTTGTCATCTCCAACCTCAGAACGCCCACCACGTTACGCGCGGTATGGAAAGGGCAAAAGTCGAGTCGCATCCGCAGCACCACCCAGTTCGCTAACACGGCCACTACTCTCGAGCACACCAGACGTCCACTCCCTGGGGTCTAGTACACTTATCGGCTCCGACCCTGTCTCCAAATAGTAATGTCGCCACGATGATGTTTGATTTACGCGTTGCTCCTTCCGTTTTGCGATATTTTCGATTCTTGGTCCTACCGTCACACTCCCGATCATCGATCGTCGTGCTACCCCTCCAGGGGTCCTTTGAGACCCAGCGAATACGCCACGACCTCTGGACCATTTTACCTTCTGCTTTGTCACGATCAGCGCGAACCATAGACTGCCTTCGGGTCTAGTGTCTAATACGCTCCTTAAATCGCCATGTCGCGCAAGCCTTTGCTTTGCGCTACAAAAATACCCTTCTTCGACGTTCTCCAGTAAATCACGCCAAGCACACGCATCTACTCCGGTACAAAACGACCCTGAACCTACCTACCCACCTGGCTGATTGACGTTTGTTCTATACCCCGCCGCATATTCCATGCAGCGCAACCTTTCCTTTCTTGCTGTTGATTGTTTTCTGTGGAGTGAGTGAGAGTGCTGGAAGCGATATTGTATATAAAACCTTGCTTCCGAGGCCTACTCTCGTGGAAAAGGATTAATGCTTTATCTTGATTATCATTTCTACGATATCCCGCCCGTTGGGTAGGAGAGAGAGGGTGGTTTGTGGTTGTTTAGTGGATGGTGGTTTTTGCTGTTTTGGGTGCTGAGGAGAGAGGAGAGGTGGTTGCTTGCGTTTTGGATAGCTAGGTTTAGCAATGGGAAGTACGGAATATTCGACATGTGTCTTTTGGGCAGTGAATGCTTTGTGCTGTGCGACCCCCAGTAAGATCGTCACTTTGCCCAGTCCGGTTGACCCAACGACCTCGTTTCTAGAACGTCAGCACCGAAGTACAACCATATCCGCCCAACTCTACCCATCTCTCAAAACTCGCACATTATCTCCTTTCTCTCATCCCTTTCTTCTCCAAACCCTGGGTATCGGTACATTCTTTAATTCCACTCCCTCTCGAAACACGCACCGTTGTCACTTATAGCCAAGCATACACCTATAGCATAAGCATGAAACCCTTTGCCCCGACCCAACCGAACCCGCCTCCCCGGTTCAACCCCCCGTCCAACACGTTTCTCGAATGCAAATCTCCGAGCAAAACGCACAAACCCCCGGCACGCGTGTTTGATCCCTTACTTACTGGACTGCCGAGGGTAAAATAGGGAAGGAGGGGCGTTGCAAGTGCTGGGGGGGTCCAGGTGGTGTATGTGTGCTGTATGAGGGTCGTATGAGGGGCAGCTGTTTTGTAGTTAGGCTGGTTTACGATGTGAAAGGAGGTGATGGTGATGATATGCATCGTGGTTGCTGTATACTTGGGCGTGCATGAAGTACACAAACTGTGTTCTATATGCCGAATTCGTGGTGTTGACATGGCAAGGAATGCGAGCGTCCCCATCCGCCATGTCCACCAACACCCAGACCACAAAGAGCACAGCAAAGCAACGATGATTGGTATATGATCGTTCATATTTCAGGTATCATATCGTCCTAACTCTAATCCCGTCCCTATACCCAAGAGGGCATAACCCAGATTTCCTTCATAGTACCCCGAAGGGAGTATTCATGGCTAGTCCGTAAATTCATCGCATCATCGCATTGCAAAAGCAAGGTCGTCAAAATGCACAACCACCGCCACAGTCCACCTCTATTGTTATCTCTCCATCAAATGGTATCATCTACGCTCTGCCCTTCCTCCTACCGGCCTTGCCAAGGCCTCCATCCTCATTTCGCTTATGCCAATCGTCTATCTCGCGTCGAACGCCTTCGCGGTACGACTTGTACTCTTCGCTCGTTTCCACTAGCAGTTGTGGGCAGTGGCCTGAACGGCGCAGGTGTCGCTTTAGGTTCTCCCAGCGACAGTCGGGCTTGAAGGTGCAGTTGGGGTGCGGACACCTGTACGGTCGGAGAGTCTGTCGGTATTGTTAGTAAGTCGTACTCTTGCTATGGTGAGGCTACGAAGACGTACCTGATGTGTCCTCTCGTGCTTGCTCAAGTTACTTGAGTCGGCACATGTAAACTCGCAGAATCGGCATTTGTGCGGCTTCTTGCCCTCATGCAGCGCACTAATGTGGGTCTGCAATTGTGTATGTGTGGTTGTCGTGTAGCCACAGCGGTCACATACATACGGCCTCTCGCCTGTGTGTGTCCTCTCGTGGTTGTCTTTGGCTTGGTTGGTAGCAAACGTCTTGTCACAGCCCTCATAGCTACAAGCGTATGGGCGGTAGCCTGCGTGGCCGAGAAGATGACGAGACAACTTAGAGCGTTGCTTGAAATCTTTAGAGTGTGCTTCACAGCCTTCCCATTGGCAGAAGCAGTGTGTGCAGTTGTCAACGTGTCCGGTCTTAATGTGTTTGTGGAGGGCTTCGGGGCTGTCAAAGACAGCAAGGCAGAGGACACCGGGCGCATGTTGCCTGCAGATTTTGATTAGCTCATACTTCTATGCACTGCCTAGCACTTTGTGGGTGGAAGCGGGTTGGAAAGTTAGGTAACCACTTCGGGCCGACGTACCATTTGCATACACAGGACTGAGCGTCGGTCGCTCCAGCAGCAGATGCCGAACTTGAACCAGCAAACGTTGTCCCGCTGGGCCGTAACATCTCGCTTTGGACCGCAGAGGCGAGGAAGTCGAGTTTGTTGGCAGCACCGAATGAGCCCTCTGGCTGCAACTCGTTAGGGAACGCCGAACCCGTCAGCATCCACGACTGATCGTGGAATGTCTGGTCGTTAAATCCCATCATTGGGGCGTCTAGGCTGAAAGGATTTGAGGAGTGTAATGAGTTGCGGTCCGCTGACACGGGACTTGTCGGTAAGCTGGGATTGAACCCAAAGTTCAAAAAGTTGGACGCTAGACCATTCCCTTGTGCTATCGACGAGTTCCAAAGGTCCATTTGTTGTTGTGATGCAGATGGTGCGTCACCGCACGCTCTTTGAGGTCCATGGCAGCACGAGTTGTCAATGTGACAGTGGTCGCCAGCAACGTTGAGGTAACAGTGTGGTGGGAAGACTGTTTGGCCAGGGCCCGGCGAAGGCTCGGTAGTAAAGGCGCTTTCCAGCGAAGTATAGTTGCTGTGCGACAGCGCTGGTGTTGGCGCGCTCGACGCTATTGTTGTCAGGTCGTCGGCGATGGTGTTGTACCCGTGAGTCTGGGAAAAGCAGGGATATGTCTCGAACGAGCCCAGGCCGTCATCATTTCCATGGAAGCCTTCTTGAAAGTGACAAGGTGCGGTGTCGTAACAGTACACAGTACCGACGGGCGTAGGAGCGGAATGGGCGAAGTGACACTCGTGATGCGAGTCAGGCAGAGTGAAAGGTTGATCGTTGCACTTCTGACAGTAGCAAGACTGGTCCGGACAAGCGGCCTTTGTACACTGAGGGTCTATACAGTCGTCTGTGCAATGGTCGTTTTTCTCGTTACACCGGGGGTCGAAGCAAGCGTCGTCTTCGGGGCAATCGTCGGCAGGGCAAGGCACTGGAGGGCAAGAAGGCTCTAGATGGCACTCTTGACAGAACTTCTCGAAGCAGTCGTCTGGAAAAGGACAGTCGGCATCGAGACTGGGTTGTGAGTCGGTGGTGAGTTCGTGATACTCGGTCACTTTCAGGGCGGAAGCCCTCCGCTTAGGTGGACGCACGTCGCACGTCTCTGGGCAATGATTGCAACACAAGCTTGGATCAACAGATTGAGTACCGTGTTCAAGCTGGGACGGGGTTGATTGGCCTCGGGTTCGTGCGGCATCATCTTTCAGATCGTCTGCAGCACGCTTGGTCCCTGCCACCGGCGCACCCAAGGAAAACATTGGATCCGTAGTCCAGAAGTCGTCTTCGTCTCCAAAAGCCGAATCGCGATCGCAGTCTGCACAGTTATTAGCCATGTTTGCGAGCCCTTGGTAGGAGTTTCAGAGTGTGTGTGTCTGTCAATGTCGAAAAGTCATGGCGGAGGCCATCACGGTTCTCAAGATTGGGAAAGCACGATGGCGTAATCAGAGTGCCGGGCAAGGTACGAGGGGTAAGTGGAAAGTGTAAAACATACAACTAATCATGCCTCTTGGGGTCTACCCAGACAGCCTTACAATACCTACTACAAGGGAAAGGATACGGTTTGGCTGAGATGAAGAAGGTATGCGCTTGAGAAGAGTGAATGGAGCCTAACCCGGATGCGTAAAAGCGTATATCCAACTCCTGCGCCTTCATTGGCCCTTGGCTCCAGCCTTGGAAGTCGCGACGGTCATGTGTATCGTGGATGTTCCGAGCCCAGGCATCACAGGACTCTTATCGCGAGGCTGGATGACAGTCGAGACGAATTTGCTGTCGCTATCGACGTCTAGTGTAATCTTGACGTTTGCGAGGCGATTCACGCATCGGTATCGTCGTGTGCGACCGGGCAGAGAGTCCTCCATCCACGGGATGCGGAAGAACTCATTACGCTACCGCTCTAGTGTACCCACCTACGGAGTGCTTGACGTTTGCGATCATCGTCATACGCAGCCGTCACAAACGCGACGAGAACGCTCAAGAAGAGAGGAGAGAAGATGAGCAAACGCAGGCCGGGAATGTTTGACGCGCAGTTTACACCCTGCCTGAGATGCTGCAGCCGGGAACCGAGAGACGGGTACTTGGCGCCAATCCCACGCGTCGCAATGCACATTTCCCCGCCACGAGGCTGATGTCTCCGCAACTCTCCCTTGCACCTTGGACCCTACCTTCGCACAGCCACAGTGACGACTACGCCTACGACTCTTGCAACCAAACATCCTTTGCCTCAGCTTCCCATAACTTCAACTCCTCATTCGGAACTACAGATGGGTAACCTTTGCGGCAAACAGTCCAAAGACAACTTCGAAGGCCAAGGGCGCACACTCGGGTCTGCGCCTGCGTCCGCGACCAAAGCATCTGTGCCGAACAATGTTGCGCCGTCAAAGCCCAAGGTGGGAGGACCAGCGCGGACGCTAGGAGACAGCAACCGCGAAGACGATCCGAAGGCTGCCGCCGCCGCTGCAGCAGAGGTACGTACCTACAACTCTTCTTTGGAAGGCGATAGCAAACAGAGAGCTGCGCAAGTTGCGACCATGACCGCTGACACACTACCCAGGCACGCGCAAACAAAGCCACATCCGGCGACCTCCAGAAGAAGCTCGACGCCCAGAAGCGCCAGACGAACAACCAAACTCTCCAACAAGCCGCCAACGAGAGCCGTCTTGCACGAGAAGCCGACCAAGCGGCCGAGACAAGGAACTACAACTGACACTCTTGAGATGGGGAAGGATAAGAGTGGGGGACTATTGTACATACCGGCCTTTACGATTCACGACATTGATAATATTGATACAAGCGGTGGTTTGGCGCATTTCACCCATGCATGAGCCTGGCGTTGAGCGAATGTAGCCGTTTTAGACCTTGATTCTAGCTAGGTATAGTAGGCTTGTAGGGGTGTGATATCCATCCTTAACACATGGCCTATGAGTTTGTGGTTACAGCGTTATAGGGCGCTATCAAAACCAAGAAGTTCTAGTCGAGAACAGGCAACAATCTTGGATGAGGTGTCTCATAAAGGCCTAGAACACGGTTTGACCATCGCGTTAGGCCTTGTTTTACGCCTTTATGAGACACCTGGTCGAGGGCTGTTACCTGACAGTTAAGAACTGAATTATATCCTTTCGAATGGATTGACTCTGTGCCTATGTCTATCGCCTGCAGCATACTGGTTCCATTCTTTCCTCAAACATCACCTTTACACGAAGAAGAATTTCTTATTACATTTTTCATTCATTCTCACGAGATCGTATATCAACCCCGCCTAACTATCTACTCAGCCCAATGCCAAAACACCTTACCGCCCGCGCGAAAACCCAACCTTGATCTAGAGAGGAGATGGTATAATCCAGGGTATTGTACAGCGAAACCATGTCGAACGACCGCGCAGATGCAATAACCACCAGAGATAACACCATGCCAATGACGAGATGCAGATACAAGAAAGATGATCGTTCCCATATCCCCCATTCAACCAACCTTGAAGATCAGGCAGCCCAACTAGGCCTAACCACCCGTCATTATGCAGACAAGACGCCAGACCCATCCAGTCCACCAGCTCCGTTGCTAGTTGCGGGATATCGTTGTTGTTTCGCTAGAGGAAAAGAGACCCTGGATATAAACACCGTCGCTGAAAAACATAGAAGCGACTTTAAGAAATTGAATGTTGCTGCCCAGCCACGCCACTGGAAGTTTCACCCTCCGAGCGGCGCGGGGGCTGTTTTGAGAAATTCTTTTTGGTTCGGCCGTCGCAGTAGATGGAGTAAAAAAGTGTATGATTGAAGCGCCAAGAGGCGAAAAGTCGAAGGAAACCGAGTGAAACTGAGGTTGATAGCTTAGGCGGCGACCTCAGACACGGGGGCACGACCACCACCGACGAGCTCAAGGATCTTGCCGGCGACTGCAGCTGGGTAGCCACGAGACAGGCCCTCGTTGACGACTGTCATAGCGGCAGCGCGGTCCTCGACGGCCATATAGGCGCGGGTCATTGCCTCGTAGGTGCTGGGCTCGCGCCTGCTCTCGGAGACGGACTCATAGATGGCCTTGGCCTTCTGGATGTCGTGAGCAAGGGCCCAGCCGTGGATGAGAGAATTGGCAATGTAGGGAGTCATCTCAACGCCACGAGCACGCATGTCGCGAAGAACATCCTCGGTATCTGCGATCTGGTGGTTGGCGACCATGGCCTCGAACAATGCCTGGTAGAGGCATGCTTGAGGACGAACACGGCTATCTGCGAGGACAGTGTCAAAGAGGCGACGAGCTCCCTCCATGTCGTGCATGACGCAACCCTTGGCGTGGATCAACGATGAGTAATGGACCGCTTCCGGGACAGCACCGGCGCTGCGAACTTGCTCGAGAACCGACTCCGCAGCCTCCATATCGACCGGCTCAAGGGTAGCGTAGGTGTCGATGAGGAGCTTGTACGTGTGCGTCGTAGGCTCGATGCGCTTAGCACGCATACGCTCGTAGTAGTTGAGAACCTTGCTGCGATCACGCTTGGTGGTCAAGAAAAACTGCATCATGCTGTGGTAGGGCGCAGGGCGCGGCTTGTAGTTGGGCATGCTCTCCATCTCTTCGAACAGTTCCTCGGCGAACTTCTCGTCACTGACACGGCAAAGAGCGTTGACAATGGTACCGTAGGTGACGGAGGTAGGGCGAATGCCGAGATTGCGCATCTCAGAGAAGTAGAACAGACAGTCGTCGATGCGTCGGGCCTTTCCAAGCTTGCCAATCAGAGCATTGTACAGGAAGGAAGAAGGCTCAACACCCTCAGACTTGGCGCGGAGGAAGATCTTGACTGCCTCAGTCGCTTCATCGAAGGTCTTGGTCGACTCCTTGAGTGTGGTGATGTAGAGACCAAAGGTGTTGGCTGTCGGCGCAGCACCCATCTCAAGCAGATCCTGGTGATACCTTCCCGCAAGATCACGCTGGTTGCAAGTAAGGCAAGCAGCGACCATGGCGTCCAGGATCGTTACCCAGCCGTATCGCACAATGCGGTACTGAGGTAGGAGGGGAACGTCCTGCTTGGCGAGGTTGAGGATATCATGAGCAAGAGTCAGGCGATCTTCCTTGGCAGCGGCGGTGATAAGCTTAGCATAGGTGAAGAATCGAGGGTGGCGGCCAGCTCGGCGCATGTTCCTAAACTTCATCAGAGCCTCGTTGAGGTGAGATGATGATCTTCCGTGAGTTTTTTCCAGAAGTTCGGTGATGGCAACAGAGCCCTTGTTGTCGGTAGATGCGGCGTAAGGGTCGTATTGGTCCTCGAACGTAGGAGCTGATGGGGTGATAGGGGCTTGGACAGGGTAGGCGGCGAACGGTGCTGGTGAGTACAAAGCCTCCGGAGCGGGATGCTTGTAAGCGTACCATCGGTGCTGGAGATCGCCCCTGTCGAGCTTGGTAAGCACTTGTTCAACAAGACCGGAAGTTGTCTTATTGACTGGTGTGCCATTTGCGGCGATGACTTCGAGAAGATGGGCGAACCGTGCAACGTGAGCAACGTCAACTTCGGCCTCCTGGAGTAGAATTCCAGATTGAACCTGCATTAGAAGCGTGATGTCGTCGAAGTTGAGTTGAACGATGGCCTCAGGTCCCATTCCAGCAAGTAGGTGGTGAGCAACTGGGGTGACTAGGCCGCCGTTTTCAATCATCGTCCACATCAGTTCCATGCTAGCCCGCGGCGGAAGGAAGATACCACGCTTCATCATGAACTGACCCATAACCTCGATAGCCTCGTCGATGTGCTCTACGGTCTCCATCTTAGCTTGGTTAGAGCCAGACTGAGAGTCCCGTATGCGAGCAAACATTTGACGTCCTTGACGAAGACCGCGCTCCGCGTGCCCACTACCAATTAGTGCAATACTATGCATAGCAGTAGGCTCGATGAAGTCGGCCTTGGTGGGAGAGAGCTCGAGCATCCTCCAGAAGACCTCAGCAGCTTCGATGTTTCCAGTGCGAATGTGCATAGCACCCATCGCCATAGCTGGCCGTGACAGGTCAACCTCAGCTGGGAGATCATCGAAAGCCTGAGTGGCAATCTCTACGGCATCACGATCCGCAGCCTTGATGCAGATAGCAGCCATAGCGATCTGACGCGCCTGTGGGCTGAGATACTCGGTTGCATGCACGTAGGCTTGGTCGAAAGCACCGTTCCTTAGCCATTCGGGAAGGAAGGCCTTGAGACCGACAATGTCACGGACGGAGGTGACGTCTTCTGGAGTGGAGAGCGCATTCTCGATCTTGGACAGGAACTTCTCAGCTCCTTCAATGCGGCCACATACCGTGTACGCCTTCACAAGAGCGGCGTACACATCATTGTCTCTCCTAGCGATGTCGAGCTCGCCGTTGTCGTTTGAGATCGCCAGAGCTTTGTACTCGTCGTAGCACTCGACGGCGCTCTTCAGATCGCCAGACTTGCCGAAAGCCTGAATCATTGGAACGAACATCTCGGCAGCCGGGGTCACACTGTGGGATTCCATGTGAGAGTAGATTCGAACCATGTCATCAACACGGTCACTCTCCGCGCAGGCGGTGATGAGCAGCCGATAGGTCTTCTCGGAGAATGATCGGTTGGTCTCTACGTGGACTGCAGCATCGAAAAGCCTGATGGCGACCGAGAGCGATCCATCCTCAGCGAGGATAGCATAATCAGTTTCGTGAGATTGGAGCATGAAACTGCCCTCCTCTTCCATACCACCATATCGTAATCGCCTGTCTTCGAAGCTTTGCTTCTGAGACACAACCTCGAGAGAGCGGACGGATAAGAGTTCGATCAGGGTGGTGTACGTAGCAGTGTCAGGAACAACACGTCGACGAAGCATATCAGAGTAGACATCCAGGGCCTTGGGGACGACCTGATGCTGGGCGCGGGGAAGGTGAATCGCAGCAGATAGGAGAGCATTGTATGCGGTGGCTGATGGCTTGACATCAGAACGAAGCATGGCCTCGAAAACAGCGGGGACTTCGGCATAGTTGCGGTTGATTGCCAGCTTTTGCAGCTGTACGGTGTATTCATCGTGCGCTTCGATCGGACTGGTGGCGATGGTAGACTCGGTGCGGCTCAAAATTGACGAGTTTACAAGAGTGTCCGCAACGGTTGCGGGCGACTCTGACCGGGCCTCTTCAATTGGCGAAAGTTCTTCCTCAACAGTCTGGGCAACTTCGCTATCGACCTTGTATCGTGCCACCTCTTGTGCAATTGCCTCGTCCACTTGTGCCAGCGCAATCTTCTCCGCCTCTTCACCACCAACAGCCTTCTTGAAGTCCTCTACTTGGCTGGTGCTGTATGCGCGGTTAACACCGGCACGTGCGGGAACCGGTTCTGCCACCTCTTCAATCGCAACACTGCTCTCTTTGGCCTCCGCCGCAGCCTTGGAGCTGGCAGGGTCCCATTCTATGAGCTTGCGGAACTGGAACTGCGACCACTCCTTGTCCTCCGTCTTCTGCTGGTGTTTCTGCCATGCTGTGTAGTATGCGGCTAGACCAGAGTCCTGGTGGTCGTGTTGTCCGGCGGCGAGCGCCTTGAGCGCGCTCGTTGTAGACGATGTCGAGGCGAAGGCATGTTGATTCTTGAGGCCCTTGCGGAAGCGGTCGTGTTGGAGGGAGGCAAGGGGGTTGTTCTGGCTAACACCAGCAACTACTGATTGAGCATAACCGTGAGTAAAGCCCTTGGCAAGACTCTGGCGCGCGAGATGGAAACTCTTAAACACCATTTAGGAATTTGAGGAGCCCTCCAGATGGATAGGGTGAGACTGTCGATGGTCAGCGTGGTTTCCCTCAGGCGTGGTTCCGATGGTGGAAATGCTCCGAGCGACTGGGCATCGGCCCGCGACCAATTTTGTGATTTAG